TGACCTGGCGATGTATCACCCATTTCACGGTAAAGTTAATTTAGCTTTTCACCAACACTATCTCCGGCCTCCTGTGGTGCTGAGTTGACCCGCGGGGGTGTTTGTGTCCTAATGGGGTGTTTTTTTGTTTTTTTAAATACTCGTTTTAATGTTTTTTCTCGTTAGTTGGAACAAATGTTTGTATAACAATATTTGTTTTTCTGTGGGGGAAAATTAGTAATATTTTTAGGTGTGTGTGTGTGTGTGTGTGTGTGTGTGTGTGTGTGTGTGTGTGTTGATATTATGACGTAATTACATGTTTGTTTTTGATGTAATTCAAGTGTGCGTGTTTGTACTTATTTATTTTCACGATAATGTATACATGATTCATTTCCTCCTCAACCTCGTTCATCTTTTATATTGTTTTTAGTGACTTGTTATGTTGACTTTAAGAGTTTGTAATGAATATAAAATAATAATGTTTTAACGTCACTCGGCGATCAATTTGTAACTTGTGCAAACTTCTGTAATATTCAATATCTTAGACTAATGATGAGGTTTTTAACGACATCTCACCAGTAAAGAGAGAGAGAGAGAGAGAGAGAGAGAGAGAGAGAGAGAGAGAGAGAGAGAGAGAGAGAGAGAGTAATAATAATAATAATAATAATGATAAACAGTTTATTAATAGAGTTGCAGCCGGTGGTTGAAAATATGTGTGTGTGTGTGTGTCGGTCTAGTTGATTCATCTATACACGAGAATATTAACACGCCGACCTACAGCTTCCTAACAACAAAGTCAACCACCATAACCATACATCCCACATCATAACCATACAACGCACACCATAACCATACAAGGCACACCATAACCTCACAAGCCACACCATAACCACACAAGCCACACCATAACCACACAAGCCACACCATAACCACACAAGCCACACCATAACCACACAAGCCACACCATAACCACACAAGCCACACCATAACCATACATCTCGCACCATTAGGCTCAACATCTCCCTAGTAACAAGTCACAAACTTAATACCATTAAGGGAGAGCATCCACTTAAGCCCACAAGTCTTTGGCTAAAGTGAACAAAAATTAGGTCACCTACTGAATTGATAGGTAATTGTCTACCCCCGCACGGTACTTTTCACCCCACGCCACGGGAGAATAAGGTCGGTTATGCCTGGTCCAGGAGGCTCCCAACTCGTCTCTACCGTCTGGCGCAGTATAGAGGGGGGCACTTGCCGCGATAATGTGTGTTATACCGGCCGTTTCTCTGTTCCTTAATTACTGCCGTACGTACCAACAAGACAGACTTGCGATTAAACGAACGTAAGGGATCGATGAAGTTGTTACAGTCTGGTTGCAACACAGTATTACCGTTGCAACACAGTATTACCGCTCTACAGTATTGTTAGTTGGGCTTTTCATTGATGGTGACTAATAGATATATGTAAACACGTCTGAGGATTATCAACCTAAGCCCAGATGCACAAAGGTTCTTACGGTGAATGTTCCTCGTAAGTGAAGATAAGAAAGAGCATCTAACGTTTCGACTTAAGCTAAAACACGAAACTAACGCATAAAAATGACATCGTAATTACTCTGAGACGATAACTTAGTTCACGTAGTAGCTGTTAAGAGGTGATATTTCGGTACGAGCCTTTGTGAATCAAGCCCTTATGCTATAATGACCCTTCAGGACTATCGGACTCACGTATAATCAGGAGAGCTAATCACTTAATGCTATGATACACATCCATCATGAATACGTAGTGGAGTGTAATGGACAAGTGAACTGTGTAAGTCCTTAAACATGAACATATTCCCCTGCTCTAAATAATGATACCTACAATAGTTATGTGTTTAAAGTTAGTTTAGTTAGAAATTGGCACCAGGATGTTCCAACACCACCATCGAACAATAGAAGTATTTAAAAGAATCCCTTGTAAACCAAATATGCAGATTGGAAATAAACGACAGAAAGTTGAACAAGTAGACTCAGTAATACACCCGTTACATGATGCTGTTACAAATTCTATGAGTCCTCTGAGCACTCTGGACACGAAGAGAAAATGCAAAACGGAGCCAAAAAATAAAAATAAAATAACGTTTCCAACAGCTCTGAGACCCACTGACAAGCAAACTAATTTTCCAGACCGTTAGTCTCGTGTCTCCCGCAACTCATCTTTTCCCCATTCCAGGACTGTCCAGAGGAGGGTGAGAGGGGCGTCCCACACACACGCCTGCCGCCACCAAAGACCTACTAATTAGTGTACGGGGTCTGAAACACACAAAATGGCCCCATGAAGAAAGAAACTTGGGCTTGACTGTTGTTTACTGAATGTGAGCTCCGACTTTGGTTAGGTTAGTTTACATTAGGTTAAGTTAGGTTTGGAGAGTATAACCTGATTTTATGTGTTCGAATCCCGGACGACAGAAAGGAAATAGAAACTGGTCCAAAAGTATGGCAGGGAAAAGTATGTGTGACCCGGAACTAGAAGCAGAGGTTCCAGTGTGGCCGTGCACCAGGAGGGTTCTGCATTACTTCAAGTTAGATATTAATGAAGCTCTTAAACCTGGAACTCGCTGGAAGCCAAGGCCGGCGATAAAACACCATAAGGCACTTGGCTCTCATGGAAGACTTAGCAGGCAGGGTAAGGCGGGCGGGCGGTAATGGTGACAATACTTTAACACACACATCAAAGATATTGATAATGATAATCAAGGAGCCTGGAATAATGTCGCGTGTAATCCGATTCCAGGCACGTACAGGATTACCGAGCTGACAGAATAATGGAAATTTATCCCATTCCAGCACCAGCCCGGAATCACAGCCAGGCTGGAATACTAGGGCTCATGGGTCGTTCCAGAGCGTCCAGGCGCCGCCAGGGAAAGAGTTTTACCCCGTTCCAGACAACATAATAAAACATCACGAATAATATTACACGGTCTTGTTTCGTATGTATAATATGACTAACTGAATCCTCGACAAGATACTCTGTCTGGCACTGCTTGTTGGGGTCTGGGGGGGGGGGGATAATTAGGAATCCTTAAACTCACATTCGGTTTTTTTTTAAATATATGGCCATATTGGAGTACCTTGAGTAAATCTTTTTGTTAATCCAAGAATGTACAAATAAGTATAGCGATTGTTATTGCTGTTGTTAAATATAATTTGATGCTGTTGATCAAATGTTGGACTGTTCTTGTTAAAAAGGTCATATTTCGCTTAAAAGGAATTTTATTGTTGATAAATAAGATTCTTTGTTAAACCTTAATTTTGAGTATAATATTTCTCTAAATCCTCCTCACAAGGCTTGTAACACATTTTCCGTCCCATGTAGCAAGTAAACTAAGCAAGAATGATCGCCGGAGTGTAATAAATATACCACACATTTTCATGTTATCCTTTCAAAGAGTGAAGCCAAGTTTCTATCACACAAATTATTTACACCTACTTTATCTGTCTCCTTTTATCCTCTCCTCCTCTTTCTCCACCTATTCCTCTCTTCCATCGCTAAATCTTCTCCGTGTTATTTATAAAAGAGCATCGTTGTTTCCATATATATTTTTGCCCACTTCCTTCTCAACATATTATCCTATTTCGGTAACTCGTGTGTTTGTGTGTGTGTGTGTGTGTGTGTGTGTGTGTGTGTGTGTGTGTGTGTGTGTGTGTGTGTGTGTGTGTGTGTGTGTGTATGTGTGTGTGTGTGTTACTATAATTTACACCAAATCTATAGTTGTTACCTGATACTCTTTCATTCTACTCTACGCCTCTACTTAACACAGCAGGTAAACTAACAGCAGCTCTAGGTAAACTAACAGCAGCTCTAGGTAAAATAACAGCAGCTCTAGGTAAACTAACAGCAGCTCTAGGTAAACTAACAGCAGCTCTAGGTAAACTAACAGCAGCTCAAGGTAAACGTATAAAAGCTCAAGGTAAACTAATGTAAAGTCAAAGTAAACTAACATTTGCTGAAGGTAAACTTAGAGATGCTCAAGGGAAACTTATAAGTAAACTAAATGGCCGGGAAGGAGGGGCGGGCGACACCAGCATCTGTCGTCTCTCCCGAAAGTCGTAATTAACAGGGGGACAAAATGATGACGTTAGCAGAAGGGGAGAATCAATCACGTGATCAGAGAGAGAGAGAGAGAGAGAGAGAGAGAGAGAGAGAGAGAGAGAGAGAGAGAGAGAGCTTATGGAAGGGCCAGAACATATTGGAAAGAGACAAAGAAAGCTGTAAGGTGTAAGTATATATAATGTTAATGAGCAATGTTAAAAAGACCTCGACTTCCCCTTAATAAAAAAAAGCACCCAGAAAGATGTCGAGAGAGCAAGCACATAAACGAGGAGAAGAGTCACGGTTATGTAATGGTAAATACACGTAGACAACAAGCATGAAAATGAAAACACAGAGAAACTAGATTGTATTCATGCCTATAGTGACCTCTGACTTTGACCTTTGTCTAGTGATGACCTAAAAAAGTGTAAAAAGTGCAGTGCCTATTCTAGTCTTAGGTTAACGAGCTGTGACACTGTGGTAAAAATTATATCCTGATTTTTGACACTAGAGCGTCATTAATTGTGGATGCTTGACTTTTTGACCTTCTGAACTGGAAATATTAGGTTCATACTTATTGTTCCAAACAGTTGTTGTTTTAGAGTTACCTTGCGGACACACACACATGGAGACGACATTAACAGCTTTACCATCGCCCAGACACCATCAGAATGGGTTATAATTCATTAAGGTTGGTGAATTTTTGATTAGAGAATAGACTCGAGAAACTATCTCACCTCACCCACCACAAGTAAGCCCACCTACCTCCGTCAGAGAACACTTAAGCTCGCTGCTGATGCTAAGCCACCTAACTAAACCTCTGCTGGCATACGTACAACCCAGCAGAGGTGACCGCAGACATGACACAAGAGGCGATAGCTTATCTATTACAGAAGGACCAACAGGGACATGTACAGGAAAGTTGGAAAAAGACTGCGAGAACTTACCGGTATGTGTACGTTGGTGGGCCTTGAGGTGCGAGGACTTGGTGTAGACTTTCTTGCAGCCGGGGAAGAGACACTTGTGCACCCGACGTTTGGCGTCCGGGGAGGTGTCTGCCGCCCGCGGGTGTACGCCCACACTCATGCCTCGCACGCCCATAGTCAGGCTACTGCTGCTGTTGCTGCTACTCGTCTTGAGGGGCAAGGAGGTGGCGAAGGAGATAAACTTTGGCACTTGTGAGCGGGAGTGAACCTTGAGGAGTGTGTGGGTATGTGTGACGGGCGAGGTCTCCGGGGAGGAGGGTGGTGTCAGTGTGGCTATGTTGGGCGCTGACTTGGCTGTCAGGAGTTTCGTCGCACCGAAGAATGACGTGCTGGACCCTCGTCGCGCACCGGAGTCTAGCCGCGCGTCCGTCACCATATCTTCTGACGACGCCCAGGAGACGAGTGATCGTCCGCGGGTGGGGCTCTGCTCCCCTACACTAACAGGGGCATCTAGGTCACCCTCCAATGAGGCGAGAGAACAGGCGGAGGAAGAGGAGGACACAGACACAGAATCTAGGGATCGCTCTGAGCCACATAGGTCGTCCTGACTTAATGGGTCATCGAGGTCCTCCAAAGGTTCGTGCTTGATGGTGACCTCGTCGTCAAGAGGCTCAGTCTTGCAGGATTCGCGGTCAAAGTTTTCCCGCTTAATGTTGAGCTCGGAGTTGAGGGCCTCTGCCTTGAACTTCACCAGAAGGCGGGGATTGCGACCCTTGATAGGTCTTCCAAGCTTGGTGTAGATACGTAAAGGCTGCTGAGGGGAGTCGTGGCCGCAGTCCTCGTAGAAGGCTTGCCAGGGGGCGTCGATCTCACAGTTGCCCAGCTTACGGCCGCCACCTTTCACCCGAGGCTCGTCCTTCAGGTAACGATCCATCTCGTAACA